ATTTTCAAACTGTCAAAAATCCATTTAAAATAAACAAAAGCATATTAGAAATTTTCATAATAGATATAATTTTAACTCACTATAGTTTTTTTAAAAAAGAATTCCTGTTTTACTTTTTTGTTTTGTCTTGTTGAGACAGGGTCTCGCTATGCAGTTCAGGCTGGCCTTGAGCTCACTTTGTAGCCCAGGCTGGCCTCGAACTTGCAATGATCCTTCTGCCTCAGCCTCTCAAGTGCTGGGATTACAAGCGTGCGCCACCATGCCTGGCTCTATTCCTGTTTACTTAACTCAGGCATTACATAAGTTGAAATAGTTAGAAATTATTTACTTCCTAGGTTGTTCTAGGAAAGATACATTTTAAGTTTTTAAAATGTTTTATTAAAGTATAGTTGGTATGTAATAAACTTCCTATATGTCTAAACATATACAGTGTATAGTTTGACAAGCTTAGACGTATGGATATACCTTTGAAACTATCACAATGAAAATGTAAATACATCACAATGAATATATAAATATAACTATCATCTTCCAAAGTATTCTCACGTTCCTTGCAATCTTCCCTGTCCTCCTTCCATCCTGGTTCCCAAGCAACTCCTATTTTGCTTTCTATCTCTATAGATTAGTTTGTGTTTTCCAAAGTCAGAATGATATAGTAAACACTGGGTATCATCTGGCTTGTTTTACACAGTATAATTATTTTGAGATTCATGATCTTGTGTACATTATAGGTCAAATATTCTTACTAAGTAGTATTCCATTCGAATAGATAAACCACAACTTGTTTAACCACTTATTTGCTGACAGACATCTGGGTTACTTCCAGGTTTTGCTTTTATAAGTTGTTGTAAAATATGTGTGCAAGTTTTTATATGGACATGTTTTCATTTTCCTTGGCAATTACCTAGGAGTAGAATGGATAAATCACTTAGCAGGTGTTGAATTTTTTACAAAACTACCTATTTTCTAAAGTTGTAGCATTTTACATTTTCTCCTGCAGGGCAAAAATTCCAGTTTCTCTACATCTTTATCAGTTCTTGGTATGATCAGTCTCTTTAATTCTAACCATTCTAGTGAGTGTGCAGTGGTATTTCATTGTGGTTTTAATCTATCTTCTTAAACGCAAATGATGTTGATCTTTTCTTAGGCTTATTTGCTACCCACATATCTTCTCTGGTGAAATGTCTGTGCAAACCTTTTGTCTGTTTTATAATGAAGTTTTTTGTTTTCTTAAATTTTCAGAGTTCTTTATATATTCTGGATACTAGGCCTTTAAAGTATACAGAGTTTTCTTTAATAAATGGTGCTAGAACTGGCTTTCCACATGCTGAAGACTAAAACTAGACTCATGTTTATCACCATGCACTAAACTAAAGTCAAAATGGGTCAAAGATCTAAATATTACAACAGAAACACTAAATCTACTGGAAGAGAAAGTAGGTAGAAATCTTGAAAACACAGGTATAGACAGAAGGGCTGGAGAGACAGGTCTCGCAGCACAGCACCTACCTGGCAAGTGCAAGGTCCTGAGTTTGATTCCCAGTACCCCCTCAAAAAAAGTGTAGGCAGAGAGTTCATGAACAAAACCTGAGCTACAAGGGAAATACTTCAAAGAATCAACAACTGGAACCTCATCTTTTTAATAATAAGCTTTTGTACATCAAAAGAAATCAATAAAGTGAAAAGACAACACACAGAGTGGGAAAAAATTTAACCAATTGTCCTTCAGACAAAGCATTTCTATCTAGAACATATAAAGAATTTTAAAAAATCAGGCTCCCCAAATTCAAAGAA